CTCCATACTGTCAATAATTTTGTTGGCAAGCCACCACAAATTGCAAAAAAAAACAACTGCGAAACAAGAAGGCAAAAAGTCAGGAACCTGTGTTTTCAGGAAGCAATTACGGAACACGCGGGTACAGCAAGGTACATAAGCGTAAGGCTCTGGCTCAGGGCTGCAGATTGTAGCTCAGATAAATGCTAACTTAATGCTGAACATTTCGCCGCAAATCTATATTTGTTCGGCTGAGTAATACACACTATTTGGGTCTTGCCTTTTATTTGCAAATTCTACATTTTTGTTATTTTCTTCTAGTTTTCCAAGTTTGTACAATAATTAGCACTTGTGTTCGTCGCTGAATATTCAAATGATACTAAATTCGTTTTATTTGCTTTGAGCCTGTTCGAAAACGCCATTTTATAATTATTCCTTTTTCGAGTGCAGTGTGTTCCATGGAATTTTTATTACTTTAGTTTACAGTTTCACTTTGTTGATAAATCTGAAACCCCATTAAAAAACCATTTGCATGCCGTTTGTAAACAAAGTGCAGCAATCTTTTCAAACAGTATTTTGCATTTGTTTAACTCCGAATGTGGAGTGCTATACCTCGTTGAGTTCGTTATTGAATTCCCAATCGAATGGCATTTCCATCTGAAAATCTTAATTATTTTTTCAGTTTTTGCATGCTTAAAAGACGAAAAACTGCGAAAGTTTGTACAAAAATTTATTTTACAAAGTCCGTCGAAAAGTGATGGTTATTATTGATAATAAGAAGCAAAAACGGTAATTAGCCAAGTTACGTAGTTAGTGTTGGATTTTTCCCCAGATATTTCGCACATAAAATAATCAGAATTTATTCGAAATAATAGTCCAAATATGTAATGCCTGTTACTCAAGTCCCAATCGACTTGGATTCGAATTACTTAAAATTAGTATTGTAAATATATTTGATTTAAGCTTAGACACACATTTCACATGGCTTTATAAATATAATTTTCTGATAAAATCAGTATAATACAAAGGCCCCCAGAAAACTACGCCCCTGACTCACTTACATGGGTGTTGTTGTTTCCAGGGGCTGTTTTCGCAGGGGTGGAGCGGGGGTGGTGTGGCACGGGGGGGGGGGGGGGCAAACATCCACAAGTGTGTTTTGGCCTATGTTCTGTGTTCGTAATGAGGTTGTTTTTGCATGTTCACTCATAATACGAAATTTTGGAGCTGTAACGCTGTTTTATCTATAAAACAACGCTGATGATGACGGAGCGGCTCAGGAAGTGCTTGCGATGCTGGAGGAAGTGGAAAATGGTAAATGGTGAATGGTAAATGGGAAATTTTTGGGCGTTGCGGAGCGTTCAAGGGGCGTGGCTCTGAGTGTTATGGTTCCTGTCTTGTTCAATGCATTTTCGCATTTTGACATGTAATTAAACGTTTTGCGGTTGCCAACGGCACGAGAAAGCGGTTCGCAGAGCCATTTTCCATTGTCATTGGATAAATGAACCTACACAGCCGAAGCGAAGCCCCCGATCTGCCACAAACATAAATATAGTCCTCTGCGAGTATATCCCCATATACACATAGTGTGGATGGAGCACATATCTGTTACACACTCGTCTGCATAAATATTGCGGCTGAAACAATGAAATGCGGCAGCAAAACGATTGATGTCAAAAGGAAATGCGTCCTGCGAAAAAGCAGCAGAGTGAAAATGCTGAATTGAAATGAAGCGATATTTCAAGGCGAAATAGCGCACAAAGGGCCAAGACCCGTGCCCAATCCATTGTAATTCATTTAGTGTCAAAGGGCAAAGCACTACACAACATTCCTGAGGTTTCGAGGTTGTGATTAAGCGAAATCAAGCAGAGATGTCATTTAGAAATATATATATATTTAGAAATATGTGTCATTTTAGAAATATAGCTGCAATGGTGGCAAATTACTCGCTCCGCTTTAATAAATCTTTAAGTACATATTATTTATTTACAAACATAAAGGGCATAAGATAGTGAACAGAATATTTGAAGAATAGTTGCCAGCTGAACTATACACAATTATTATCTCATTGAGGTCATTGCTGTGTGGGCTTCCGAGCTTCACTTAATTTGAGACCATCTCAAAATACCAGCAGCTGCAACGCGGCAAAGTTTCGCGTGGCTTAAAGGCAGGGGGCTTTAGTGGGTTAAGAAAGTTTTTTTGGGGGGAAATGAGCAAAATAGCATTTCGTTGCATACTTTTAGGGCTACACGGCTTGGGTTAACTCAATATTTTCTTGGCTCCTTGTGGCATTTGGTGGATGTGGCTGTTGTTGCTTTCGTACTCGACGTACTTAAGCATGCATATGAAAATGTCGGATTCTAGGCTTTAATGCCCCACTTTCCACTTCGAAGTGGAGGCGAGATGGAGCTAGCATTCATTCGCCCATTCATTCATGCATTTTCGCATTTCACTGGCTCACATTTCTTTCTCCAAATTGTTAAAATGGAGCATGCAAAATAATTGCGTGCACCCCGCAGCACCCCACGCCCCCATTTACCGCCACCCCCCCCCCCCCCTCCGCCCCAGCCCCTTTCCAGTGGCACAGCCACGCCCACACAACTGCCGCCTTGTGCAACATTTTGCCAGCACATAATATTTTGCTCTTAATTCGTTAGCAAAGTTTCGTTGCAGCCGATGCAGGCTTCAATTTAAAATCGCAATTGATGCTGTGCAGTTTTTTCCATTCGAGCCTAGCCGTCAACAGTGTTGGCCCGCCAAAAAAGTCAAGGACGAATATATAGCCAAGTTAGGCTCATGATCTTAGGCAAGGTTTTCCAAGGCAAATACGATTATTTTTCATACTTGTAGTTATTAAGATCACAACTGATTCCTAAGTGTTGTAAAATTTCATAAATTCGCTTAAAAACACAAATCCAAATTGGCAACACTATCTTGGTTCATTAGAGGGAGATCGCTGTGGTGGCAGCATGAGAAAGAGAAATGCGTATTTGATTATCTTTCGGTTCGGACTACGGACCAACAAAGCCATACAAATGGATGCCACAAATATGCATTTTGCAGGCCAAATTGTGCATTTGCCGATGGAGAAAAGTTGACCGGGTTGTGCGGGGCGTGCGGGGTAATGTGTGGGCGGGGCAAGCGGGGGGAGATCGAACAAAAAAAAAAAAAAATAGTTCCAAATAGTTCCGAATTGTCTTGAACTCGACTGCAAATGCAGTTGCATTCGATTAAGTTCTGTTTACCCAAGAAGCCAAACACTAGGTTACACCATTTTACAACACTCAAGTTGGACTGAGTGGGCTTTTCCTGTTTGCCAATAGTTTTCCATGCTGCCAGCTTCAGGAAAATGACTGCTAAATAACCCAAAAAGGTATTGCTGTTCGCAGAAGCAAAGGAATTGTGTGCTCTGAACATCTTAACTTGACTTGCTTCTCTTCGTCTTTAACATTTGTTTTTGTTGGAGATCTTTAATACAGTATTACAGTATTTATGCAGCATTTACCAACACTCCTGGACTTGATAAGGCTTTTCATCTATCTTAATATTGTTGAAATAAAAAAATGTTATTAAAGAGGAACCTTTTAAGCTGGTTACCTGTTGGCTTTCAAACATAATCACGAATTTCTGAATTCAAAAGAATTCAATTAAAATATATTCCAGCCCTTGTCATTATCAAGTTTTCCAAGAACAAAACCATCATGCGGGTAGCAGTCGTTCCTGTGAGTTCTAATTGATGTTTCCGATTGGACAGGACATTCAGAGGTCCTTCGAATGTGTTCAAGCCCATCCGTGCGCCAGCAACTCCGCCTCCTTCGAAGCCCATAAAGGATAACATTCGCTCACACAATCCTAGAGTCCTTGAGGCCTCGCCAGCGAAAGGTTGAGTCCTCAGCAAGGATAACCTTTGGGCCGCCCGTGTCCTTTTGAATCGCTTTGCGTGGCCATTGAGCAGGCAGCCTTAACCCGCATCGAGCGGAGGCTGTCAGTAATGACCCACTTGTGCTCCCAGCCCAGCCCTTTTCCCCTGAGTTTTAGTGCATTCAAATGCTCACTCATCAAAATCAAAAGTCAAATTGTCTGTCTAAGCCAAGCAAGCAGCGGCCATAAACAGAATGCTGCCCAACTGCGCTGCCAGTTTGGCTGTTTTATAGCTGACAAAAATGTAGCGCATTTTATTGGAGCAACAAAATTGACCAGAGCGAAATGGGCACGCCATAAAAAGAAACATTCCAGGGTACCAAACTAGAATATGTGGGTTTTCTGTTAATCAAGTTTCAAGACTAATAATACTGAGACTAAAGTGATGAAATAATATATTATAATTCTTATAGGCAGAAAAGCTTAACAAACTACGGCACCAACTATGGTTCATAGAAGTTTTACGGAATTTTTATTCCAGATGGAATATGGTATAATTTTGTAGCCTAACCAGGGTCCAAAAAATGGATATTGTACATACCTGTGTATAATAGATTTTCCATGGCCCACTTGACATCTTCCTGTAATCGACGGTGGGCATCGCTGGTTTTGTTGGGCAGTGGTAAATGGGAATGGTGTGTCTCCCTGCAATTGCTATTAAGTTCACTTTACGTACAGAAGTCAAAGTGAAAGTACCGGGGAGGGCGATTTGGCTATATGTATACCCTGGTACCGGCTGCTATTTATTTTCATTTTCGTGCATTTATGGCTTTATCTTACACTCCACTGACACTTTGTCGTTTTTATCGTTTCAGCGTTAATTCGGTTAAGCACTTAAAGCGAACTGAGGTCCACATGGACTGGCAGTTGGCCAGCCGGAGCTGGAGCGATGCTGCGTTGACAGGAGCCAGATCATCATCACCATCATCATCATCATCATCGGGAACGGCATCATCTTGGGCATCAGCATCGTGCTCATCAACAACCATTGAGGAGCACAAGACCGCTGGACAAATTGCACCTGCCTAGTCTGACTCCAGCCGGACATCCGGATTGGATTTGCCATTTAACCGGACCGCTTCCACATCGAGAGCAGGGCCATCATGTCCAGCAGTCACTCCGGAACCATTGGACGTAAACGCGTGGGCAGCGGCAGTGCGGCCGGCAGTGAATATTACTACGCTTCCGGCGGACTTGGCGGACTTGGTGGATCCGTGAACGGCGGCGGTACCGGCGGCGGGGAGCAACTGCGTCGACAGCGTTCCGCCGAGTGGCACAGTCACGGTCGTCACGGTCACGGCCACGGTCATGGCCTAGGTCATGGACTGGGTCATGCCATGGGTCACGGCTATGGAAGCAGCAGCGAGGATGAGTACCAGAACACCGGACAGTCGACGGCCTTCGACACCCAGCTGCTCGCCCAGCTGCTGCTGCAGAGTCAGCAATTGGCAAGTGAGTACACTCGGAGTTTTTTTATGGCCTTCCATAGCAGATTAAGAAAAACAAGATAGAATGCTATAGTCCAGCTTCAAGACTATCAGTTACTCAGCTAGTGGAACTGCAAACGACGAATTTCAACATTTTCAGGAATATCGGTAGAAATAGGGAATTATAGGGCTACAAGAAATTATGTTTCCTAAACAAATATTAAAATCGGCAATAACTATGTGTTCCGACAGTAAGTTAAACATTCTTCAGGCTTTAATTAAGACAATTTGTACTACTTTGTGCAAGTAACACATACACTGCATTCATACTTACATACTTACATGCATGCATACATACATACACTGCATGCATGCATACATACATACATACATACATACATACATACATACATACATACATACATACATACATACATACATACATACATACATACATACATACATACATACATACATACATACATACATACATACGCACATACATACATACATACATACATACATACATACATACATACATACATACATACATACATACATACATACATACATACATACATACATACTTACATACACCAATACATACACCAATACATACGCCAATACATACGCCAGTACATACGCCAGTACATACGCCAGTACATACGCCAGTACATACACCAGTACATACACTACACTCACTGCTCTGCTTTGTGACTCTACATTAGAAGACATGCCTTACTGTCCTCGCTAGAACCAGTTGGGAATTACAAGAAGGGCTACACGAAAATATGTTCCTAAACAAAAATCTATATTATTTGCCCTCTGGCAATCGAGCACACAGTACTCGTTAGTAAAAAGTAAAAACTCGAATTTTGGATTGCCTTAATATGATAATTATTTAATATCTGCAAAATACACATTAATTTTTTTGAAAATATTTTTAAAAATAATAAAAAACAACGGTTTTTGTTTTTATAAAACAATTTATTGTAGAGCAATGCATTAAGTGCACAAATGAAAGTAGCGATTTCTCATTATGGTTTCACTCAAATAATGACTGTTATGTGCATAATTGATACATATTTTAAACAAAATTATAAAAGTTTTACTATTCAGGCATTGCAACAACTTCTTAAAAAAATAATTGTCACGGCATAAATTTTTAAATAATATTTAGCTAATATTACGATGAAATTGACCAAAACATTAATCAAATTCGTTTCTTAGATCAAAATTGATTTCGGACCGAAAATCGTCTTCTATCTATAACACATGAAGAAAAACAAATCAATCGCTTATGAACTATAGAGTTTGTATGGTTTAAAGGTTTAATTCAGCTAGGAAGTCTCAAGGATTACAAATTATTTCACAAATATAACTGATTAAACAACCAAAACATGATCGAATAGGAAACCATTTTAACTGTGTTTTTTGCTATGCATATATGTATGTATGTAGCTACATTTTTCTTGCAGTGTAATCCAACGGATTTTCTTAGGTTGAGTATTACGAACCAAATGCGATTTAGCAGTCGGTCAGGCTAGTAAATATTCATTATTTCATTTAATTGAATTATTCAGCTGCCGCCACTGTGTCGAGGATGTCGAGTAACCAACTAACCGACTGGCTTAGGTCCTGCCACACAAATCGATTCCAATTGCTGGCCATTGAAATCGAGCTGGCCAAGATGCTGAGATACATTTTGAGGGGGTACTTGGGTGGGGGTGGGCACTTCTGACATTTCTCTGATTGAATTCCGTAAATCGTCCGCAGAAGGCGATGGGCCACAGTGAAGCCCGCTTTAAAGGAATCGCAGGAAAAAATTTTAAAAAATGCCAGGAGTAGACTTTCCTTTTTCCCTCTTTTTAATAAATGCATAATAGCTCAAGATTTTCAAAATAAATGTTATAAGATTACACTTCCTTTCAATTAAAGTAGGTTATCATTATCTTATAATAGCTAGTTTGTTGCCCGTTTTAGCGGCGTAAGTAGAAGCCCTCTGTGCGAGTACATAAAGTGTCCTTTATCTGCGAGTTTTCACTGTACTTGGACAGCACTGCGATGGCAGCACCGCGACCGTCAGCAGTCAGCAGTGTGCAATTCAATTACAATCAAGTTGGCAGCGCCGGCCTAATGGCCGATACAATGGTACATCCTCTCTGACATTATACCAGCCACCCGCCCACCGCTTTTCCGCTCAATTTTCCAACACCCCCAGCCCCCCAGCCCCCCACCGACAACCCAACAGTTTTCCCGCAGCGAACTTAATCGAAGCATAAAACGCAAATCGCAGCGACTTCAGCGGGGAAAATGCTCTTTTTACGGGCCACCTGCATTTGTTTCGTTTCGTTTTATTGTCTGTTAATATTTAATGCAATTTACGAGTCATTTTTTACAACCTAATAACGCTTGGACGGGCGCGACGATTTCTCGCAAATTGTTTGCCGGCCGTTACTCTTGCGGGAAAAGTGAAAAGCCAACGTTTTCCCCCACTTCCCCATTTTCCCATTTTCCCATTTCCCCGGCAGTTTCGCAGTTGCCACGCAACAAAACAAACAGAATCGGCATCCTGTGGCCTGGAAATTGTAAATGTTTGTTCGCAGTGTAGACATGAAAACAGGCAATTAAATAATACAATGGCTTCTCTAGAGTCCAACCAGGAATATGGGTTCCAGGGAAGCAGCCAATGAAGTTTACTAACCTTGATTATCCCAAATAATAATTATAAATACATACCCTGCATTTTCACTCAAGTTGCCGTCCAATTATTGCATCTTTGCAGGCATGGAGCATTATAACTCAGACTGTGAGCCGGACTACTTGAGGCAACGCGATCGCCACCAGGAGGACACGCCCCTGGCCGATGGCCCGCCCACCGTGGCCACCGCCCCCGAGGTGACCTATGCGCAGCCGCACCAGCAGCGCTCCACGGTGGCGGGGTCACCACTGAAGGTGTCCACCGTTTCGGCGGGCAAATACCAATCGAACGCCAATCTGGGCCTCTTTCCCAACAGCAGCAGCAGTGGCGGCAGTAGTGTGCAGAATGGCGTCACCGTCCACACGCCGCGCAGCACAAACCCCTTCCTCAACGGCTCCACCAAGTTCTCCGGCGAGGAGGGCGGCCTGGAAAATATCAATATGCTGAAACCTTCGGCCTCCTCCTCGACGGCGGCATCCTCCAGCATTCGCAGCAGCCATCGCAACCGGAATGCGTTGAATCGGCTCAGTGGCATGACCAGTTCCAGCAGCGATTCACAGTCGCACCAGCAGCAGCAGCAGCAGCAACTTCAAATTTCGCAGCAGCAGCAGCAGCAACAGCAGATTGCTGCAGTGAAGCAGCAGCAGCAGCTGCGGCCGCCGGAGGACAGCGGCGATGATGAGTTCGTCCTGGGACTGGGATCCCTCGAACTGGGCAACTGCAGCAGCGGCGGGGAGTCGGAGGAGCCGCCGCCGGAACCGGCGCCACCAGAAATCCCGCCGCGCACCCAATCCCTACTCATGTCCCTTCGCAAGCACTCCGACTACAAGCTGAAGTACGAGGAGAAGGGCGACCAGAAGCACGAGGAGTTCATCCCCACCAGTCAGCTGCAGAAGGGTGAGTTCAGCTCCAAAAGGCCCAAAGCTGCAGGTGCCCACCTAAATATCACTTAAGGTCCTTGAATCGGTTATGAAAGCTGCCAAAGATTTGATGTGTAATTCGCATAACTCCCAGACTTTTGCATAAAATTAATCATTGTCATATGTCAAGCATTCCATAAATGTCCGCAGTTAATTCGATTTGTTATTTCGCTACTTGTTTTGTATTCATTAATTGCCTTGATTAATAGTCACTTTGAAATATGTGAAGAAAAAATCCCAACTACGCGAGGCAATGGAAACACTGGGAAATTTCAGAAAATCCCTTAAGCTTTTAGTCCCAAGCTTTTCGGTACAAGCCTGTAAGCTTGCAATGTTTTTCGAAATGAGCAAAGCTTTTCGTCCTGTGGCAAAGTTATCCTTTAACAGAATTTGCCCGCCTTTACATTTATGTTAGCGCTTAAAGCTTAGGACATGTTTCAAAAGCTGCCTTGCCATACGCGAAATATTTACTACATTTTATTTTATTTCCGGCTTTTTTACAGATTATATTCTCAGCGATAACCTCCGTTCAGATCAGCAACTTAAGCCTATTTCGCCAGGCGACTCAAATGGGTAAGTGCAATTCAGATATGTTATCAAAAAGTATTTATTAAATGCAGCGGAACTTGGCATTCACGGGAATCAATTGAAACCCTCTCACATTACTTATCGCATCTTAAAATTAAGTGGCTTCAACTTGTTTGAATGCATTTCATTATAAAACAAAACGATGTAATTCACATGCTGTGACTACAGTATTTCTTTTTGGGACCTCAGGAGCTCAATCTGATTTAACCCGCTCCTTTTCATCGGATTATTCAACCTGTGTGCTGTTTCTGTCATCGAAACTCGACTTAAATCCATCAAGCGGCATTTTTGGGGCGACTAAAGTGGGTGAAGTGCAGTTTTCCGTTGGCATTTGGGAAGACGGAGCCATATGGGGTGAAAACAGCGCCGAAGGAACCTCCACATTGTCAACGTTTGCCCTCTAATCTCCGGCTGGACTACGGAACTCTTTGAAGCTCATGTTACCCGAAGCCCGGCCAGACAAAAAGCAACAGATGCACTGGGAGCTAATGCAAGTAATTGTTAGGGAAATTGGGCAAAATTCGATGAAGACTATAAAGATGGCAGAAAGTGAAAGAATAAATCGCTGGGAACTCTCTTTTAAAGCTCTGCTAAAATATGCAGCTAACTTTTGCATCCTATACAAGTCCACTTCACTTGAGCTGTTGAGAATGCAGCTGATTAGATTCGGGTGGTGTATTTTTTCCAGTGCACCCGTAAGTGCGGTGTAAAATGAAGCTCGCCCCAAAGTTAACGGCAATTAAATTCGCAAAATGGTTTCGCATTGGCTGTTTGCCGGATCGCAGTTTGTTTGTTTATCGAGTCCGTCGGTGCATCGGTTCGTCTCTTTCTCAGTTGGCCGCTCCATCCATCAACATCCCCGACTCTTGCGGCATTTTCCTCTTTTCCGGGGGTTTTCCACAGTCTCGTATCTCATCTACAAGTGCAGCTCCATTGTAATCCCAGGCAGATGTGGAGACACCAAAGCCGCAGCGCCAAACTTCAAAATGGCTGCCTTTGGTGGCCATCGGATTCGCCTTTTTTGTCCCCAGTTTTCCACCTATTCCCCCGCGGACCCTCCACGTCTTTACTCCTATCATTTCCCCCCACACACACACTTTTCCCCCGCCCCAACCCATCTGGCAAAAAAGATGTCCGTAGCATTTTGCGGTTTTGTAAGCGGCTTTCGCCTCGCATTTTGTTTGTTCTGCTCCTCTGGATTTCTCGTCCTTCAGTCGGCCTCTTTGTATGTGTGTGTGTGGCACGCCCCCTTGCCGCCTCCTTACCGGTATTCCACCGCCCCCCGATTTCCCACCGGCCACCTGATGCTCCAGTTCCAGTTCCATTGGCTGTGTGCAGCATAATTAAAGAACTCGCTTGGAGATTACGTGGTTTTATAGGTTTAACCATTGCCATTGGATTCCCTCGTCCTCCCAGCTTGTCTGCGGTACTTGGTATTTCTTGCACATTTTGGTGGATTTTCCCAAAAACGGTAAAAGCCTGCGGGGGGAAGCGGGAGAGCGGAAAAGCGGGAAAGCGTTTCAGGTAGCCGAAAGTTTCAACCGCAAGACAGACGCTAATATTACAGCTAATGATTGCGAAGCTCCTGGAGCTGCAGGAGTAGCTCCTCGAGCATCGGATATTCCACTGAATGGAATGAAAACCTTGGGCCACAAACAATGGCGGAGGCTTAAAAAGTGAGAAAAGCGAGTGTGCGAGTGGAGGGAGCCAGTGGATTTTCAACGGGAGACAGGATATAGCCAAGTGGTTTGTTTAAACTAAATTACTGCAATGCGAAGGGGGCCAAAAATAAGAGAGTCTTCATTTTGTGGAGATTTCTGGGCGGTTAATTATGTCAGGTGTAAGCAAGATATACCCCTCTTTTTTGAAAAGAGCCACACAGTTTAAAACTTGAAACTTGAAGAAGGCAGTTCACTCAAATGGTTTACTTCAAGAAAACTATACACAAAAAAGGCTTTCAAATAGTTAAATCAAGCAAAGGATTGATTTGGCCACACTGATTGGCTAAATTGGAAGGGCTAAACTACTTTAATGCTTGCTACGAAGATAAACTCATCAGCTAGACGCACAAAGGACCCTCTTTGCCTTTGGGTCTGAGTTTGGTGGACCTGCGGTGGGAACAATCCATAATGGCCAGGCCAAAAGATGAGAGATTATCGGGGCTGACTGTGCGGAGTACATGGCATATTCTATTAATGTGGGGATCATGAAAGTTTTTACAACTAAAACCGGATTGGAATGGGCAATTTCATGGTTCGAGTGCAGTGCCGCAGGAAGAGAGCTGCCATTTTTATGGCATATTCGTGAGCTTATTGTAATGAATTGCCTCGGATTTTTCCGCCCACCACCCGCTTCTATATACAGATATACGAGTATATGTTTTCTTTTTATCTCGCCCCGAAAGGGGGAGTGGCATGTGGAGCATGTGGCATTTGCTGTAATCATAATTTTATGTCCGTCTAAGTAGCTGCGCATGACGACTGTCAACGACACGGCCTTTATCCTGACCCACTCCCACTTTTCGTCCTCGCCACATTATCCTGCACGATAAAAAAACGACTAGAAATCTTAATGGCAAGTAAAACGAAAAATTGAATGAATTGATGTTCGGAACAAATCTCTCACAGAAAACTACTTGTATTTCTATTGAATTGAATTTAATTTATTAAACACTGAGCACGCTGTTTTCTTCGAGTGTGGCAAGTATGCTCACATCCTGTCAGCCAGAGTCTTAAGCTGTCTGCCACACGTTGTGGCTGCCACAATTCGAAGGACATGAGATGCGAGAGTCCTGCAACAGTTAGCGGTCAATTGACTGCACTGGGGCCGTCATACGGGCCAGTTGTCTTTGGCAGATCTGGGTCTGAACCGTCGGAAGTCCCAAACACAGAAGACAGCCAGTAACCAAAAGCGACAGATCTCAAAGATAAACCTTTAAATGCAAAATTTGTATTTATCGGCAGCTCTATAAACACACACTTTTGGGCCCACAGAAATGGATTCCTCACTTTCACAAGCAAACATTTAGGGCATTAAATGGATTTGAAAGAGGAACTGTTGTTTAGTTGGGCTGATTTCCTTGGCACATCGTTAGCGAGTGATCATTGAAGGTGGTAACAAGTTGAAGGTGAAGTCGAAGATGCCCATGATCGCTGACAGTCGAAGATGTATGATGGGAATTAATAAAACAAGCGTAAACACTTAAAAGGCGCTCCACACCGAATTGATTCAATCGTTTTTTCCCTTTTTTTGAATAATGGTAGGGGCTGTGTTTTAAAAACAACCAAAAAACCTTTCCAACGCCCTCGCACTTTTGTGCGATGAATGAGTCAGGAATTGAGTGAGTGTCTCACTTCTTCGGATTTGTAAGTCAGAAAATGAGATCTCAGACTCATGTGAGAATCAGAAAAAGTGGGATTTGAACTTCCAGATACCCAAACTGGATACAAAATTGCAGCAACAAGCATAGGCAACTGAATTAAGTCTTGTAACGTTTATATGACTAAAAAGAAACTGAATACAATGTATGATTTGTTTGCTAGCTGAAAAGGCGAGATTCCGCCACTCAATCCTGAGGTAATACGATCTCCTCAACAGTGAAGAAACCAAACAATATGGATATTTTGGTATACCTCAGAAGACGCGGCAAAGAACGGGTATCAAAGGCGAGGAAAACGAACAGACTAATTGAAAACAATCATTAAACAGAAACTGAGACCTGGGTTGCGAAGTGGAAGTCTGGGGCGCCCGTTTATGTGTATCACTTAATTATAACTGTACACACACATCCGCCGGGCGATATGGCATCCATGAGATACAGATACCAGCGCTGTGGGATGCCCGCTTCGGTTTGCCTATCCACTTCATTAAAGGAGTTGAAAAGGTGGCAGGGCAAACAAATGGACGGCACATCGTACATCGTACATCGTACATGGCATGTGGTATATGGTATGTGGTATATGTGGATGGATGGGTTAGACGGATGGATGGTAGGGATCGGGGACTGGCGATGGCCGAGAATATGGCCAAAAGCAGTAGGAGTTGACCGCGAAGACGTCCCACTGAGTTGGGTTCTTCACATTTCGGACCCTCGAAAAGCAACCTTCTCAACGGCGAAGACCTTCGTCAGCTCACTTCTTTATTAATTAGGCATTTTGAGAGCTTTGTAAATCTGCGATTTCGGCGCCCTTCTCTTTGGTCGAGGCTCATAATTTCGCGTAATTACACTCAATTGTTTAATTGTCGTCTGATTTGGCTTAATTGAATTTGTCTCTGGATGTCAAAACAAAGTTGAAAGTTCAATCGGGGGCGAAAATGTGCTGGCCTGGGAACTCGAAACGGAAATCGTGGACATTTTCAGCCAGAGGTTAAATTAGCAACACCACATGATTGAATTTACATGTTTACCTCTGTGCATTAAATATTTTAAGCTAATTTCATACATA